CGTGCATCACTTGGCATCACTGCTGTCGTTCGTTCAATTTCGGCGGCTCCTCCGTTAGCAAATTAGACTATAGTGATTTTTCTGTCAGGTTATGTGTCGCCGTGACAATATTGGGTGTTCGGAAATACGCTGGTACATGTTAGAATCATTGGGATGTTCAAGACTGATCCGGGACGCGTGTTACTGGGTGATCGTTGTACTCCTGCCTTCCTGATGATGTTCTATAGCCCCTTTAAGGAGAATATCATCACAATACCATCTGACGTAACGACATAGTATACGAAAACTATTTATACTAGAAAATATCAAAGTAATCGCAAAATGCCGAAATCTCACGTTTTTACTACATGTTCACTAAGCTTGCACCAGATGAAAGCAGAAGTTGGTATCAAAGTGAAGTTAAGCACTTTGCAACTTGCGGACAAAAGCAATTCCATGCCGAATACAATGGCCGCATCACAAACTTCGAAGTTACCGTCAAACATAATAGGCTTTGATGCGTACTTTATAGCGAACGGTCACTATAAACATAATATAGTCGGGGGACTGGAAATGGGGAACGGTAAACATTAATCGACACCATTTTCACACGTATTCCCACTGAATTCCCGTAGAGAATGTTCAAAACATACTGAATTTCAGAACTTCATCCTATTCCTTCACCATAAATTCAAATTTCAATTTATGGTGGAGCGCAAAGTACATACATTAAACACATTCTAGAGGAGGAGAGTATATATTGCTCTCGTAAAGTACTGAATTCATTGATTTTTAGCCAAACATCAATTTCAGAGGAATCTCCTGGAACACGTCGATTTTTATTTTCAATTTTCCAGATTCATAAGAAGAATACAGGGTGATCGATGTTTGAGTAATGACGACCTGCGACAATTTGTTTCAATAGAACACCCTATATAGAATTTTTGGAATTTGAATATAAATTCAAAGGTGTGAATTACACATAGGGTTTGTATACAGGGCGTCCGTTGAATTGAGAGTTCTCATAAAGTAGTGAATGTATTCATTTTTGTTCATACAATCAATTTCTGAGAAATTTCCTGAAATGAGTACATTTCCAGTTTGCCATATCGATATGGAGAAATTAAATATTCAGGGTGATCTACGTTTGAGTTATGACATCCGCGACAATGTTTTTCAAATAGAACACCCCATATATTATTTTATTTTTGAAATCTCCATGGAGGGCTGCATTTGAAAATTTATCACATACATGGTTTGTATACAGTGCGACCATTAAATTAAGTGCTCTCGTGAAGTAGTGGACAAATTCGTTTAAAATTGAAGGAATAATTTTTTGAATATGACACTCAGAGTAGTAAAATTGTATGTTCATTCAGGCACTCTTCCAAATTCAATCAATACATACAGAAAAATTCTTGTAAATGCAGGAGAATACGACATCAGTATATTTTAAATGGCAACCCAATTTCACGATAGTAGGTACTGAATAAAACCGACGCACTGTATGCACACCCTATGTGTGACATAGGTCTGAGGATTCTGAAAATTCAAAAATATATAGGGTGTTCCATTTCAAAAAATTGTCGCGGCCTCCATAACTCAAACGTGGATCACCCTGTATATCTAATTTTTCCTTAGTAATGTGACAAACTGAAAATTGAGGTCGAATAATTCATTCAGGAGATTCCTCAGAAATGGATAGTTTGGCCTGGTTTGGCAAAAATGAATTCATTCAGTACTTTACGAAAGCACTCAATTCAACGAACGCTTTGTATAGAAACCTATTTTGTGATATATTTTCGAATTCAGCTTCCCATAGAGATTTCAAAACCTGAATAATATGAAGGGGGTTCCATTTGAAAAATATTTGCGGACGTCATAACTCAAATGTGGATCACCCTGTATATTCGATTTTTACTTTGAAACATAGGGAATTGAAAACAAATCGACATGTTCCAGAAGATCTCTCAGAAATGGGAAGCTTAACTGGAAATGAATTCATTCAGTAGTTTACGAAAGCACTGTATGTTGTCGCATTCCCAATTGCATTAATGCATATTGACACTATTTGAGTTATTTGTTTCTGTGACGAGAAAAAAGTGTCACATTTCACCCCTGTTGACAGGCAGGTTACAGTCACTTTTCATAAATAACTTTTCTTCCACGCTAGAGAAGTGAGTATTGTTTTTTCGGATATATAGGTGCACTGTTGATGGCTTCTGTTGGGCCAGTTCGAAAAATACGCCAATAGTAGGTGTTGGAATTTATTTCGAACTTTTGGTTATATATATTTTATGATTTCAACATGTTTAATGTTTCTTGTTTTTTATTACTTTTTACTTTATATTTTATGTACCATTTGGAAGTTGAATATATTCTGTGGTGTACTTTGAATTGAGTAAATAAATGAATAGTGTGTTCATCAAATTGTCTTACCGAATTACACTCAAGCATTATTTCTGGGTCGAAGTAAACTTGAAATTCATAGTTCTGTTGCCTTTGGAAAATTCTACTCAAGAAATTGCCAGACAAAATAACTGGTGCTTCTTTCGGCTAACTTCCAGACATCAAAATTCTCATTAAAATGTCGAGCATACTTCGAAAAAGAAAGCTCTTGTGTAATTATAAGTGATGATCAAATCATTATGTAGGCATTAAAAAAGCGCCGTTTTTGGAAGTGATAATAGGTCCATATGTCAGTTTCACATAACTATACAATGACTGAAATAATATATTGTTATAGTCCAGTCATTATATCCAAATAACGGACCTTACCCGTGAATAATGTTTTAGTGTTTTTTTTTCATAGGTGTCTCGGGGGGGTCACTGGGAGTGTAAATTCAAAATCGCGACCAAATCAAGCTTTTGCGTTTGTTTTTTTTTTTTTGTTAAAAAACGGTTTTTCTTGAATAACTCGGCCATTTTTGATTCTACCGAAAAAGTTTGGGAGAAAAATTGTAGTAAATTTGGTTCTCTACAAGTTTGGTTCTCACAGTTTTTCTGATAGGATCGATATTTTGTAAATTAAACCTGAAAAAAGCGAACAATTCGAAATATTTTCATTATCTCGTTTATTTTCAACTTTACGGCATAAATGAACAGAAACAAACTTGTAGAGAATCAAATTTTGGACAAATTTTGTCTTCACCTGTTTTTCCGAAAATCGATATTTTCGTAATTAAACCTAAAAAAAAACGATTCACTCGAAATATCATCATTATCTCGTTTATTCTCAACTTTACACCATAAATGAGAAGAAACAAACTTGTAGAGAATCAAATTTTGGACAAATTTGGTCCTCGCCTGTTTTTCCGAAAATCGATATTTTCGGAATTTAACCAGAAAATATGTACCCATTCAGAAATATTCGCAATATCTCCTCTTTTTCAATTCTGCAGGTGCAACGAATAGGGCGAAAGTTGTATACAATAAAATGAAAATGATAATGAAAATATTTCGAATTTGTCGCTTTTTTCAGGTTTAATTTACAAAATATCGATCCTATCAGAGAAATTGTGAGGACTAAACTTGTAGAGAACCAAATTTACTACAATTTTTGTCCCCAAACTTTTTCTGTAGAATCAAAAATGGCCGAGTTATTCAAGAAAAACCGTTTTTTAACAAAAAAAAAACATACGCAAAAGCTTTATTTGGTCGCCATTTTGAATTTACACTCCCAGTGACCCCCCCCCTCCGAGACACCTATGAAAAAAAAAACACTAAAAAATTATTCACGGGTCAAAGTCTATAATGACTGGACTATTAGTGTTGAAAAAAAATCAACATTGGTTGTGAAGGATATTATTACCACGGAACCTGATAACCCTCGGCTGAAGCCTCCGGATATAATCTTGGTCCCTGGGTGATAATAATATTCTTCACTACCTTGGTGTATTAATAACTATTTCGGTGGACTTTTGAACATAATTTTGTTGGCAACCTTGATTAACATTTCGGGAAGGTTCAGGTATTATGTTCATGGGATTATTTCAATTGACTAGGGCCTTCAAAAGGACTTGTCACCCTGAAAATCGTCTTAACCCTTAATTACTCGCGCTGGTGTATTTTGTACACCAGCGCCAAATTTCTTGCTACCATCGAACGTAGAATTTTTTTTGTGGCTCTAGACTCCCACCTAACCTATGTCTAACATGTCTGGGATGTGATAGATCAGTTTTTTGTGTGTGTTTGTACGTAAATTTTGACGCGTTGTCATGTTGGTGCCCGTTGGTGCCTAGAATACAATACACTGCGTGGGAAATAGGATAAATTATCTAAGTATCCAATATTGTATACAAACACGTTAGTTGTGTATTATGTGGACGCACCAAAAACAGAGTGACTTTTTTTATATTTTTTTTTTTGAATGCATTTCCTCGTTGGACCCAGCACTGGATCCAACGCCCCATAAGTCGAAACTTGTGCGGGGTTAGGAAAGCATACGTTTTTGTTTCACCTAAAAACAAGTCAAATTCATGATGGTGTACAAAATACACCGCGCGGGAAAAAGTTCGAATTAATTAGCGCGAGTAATCAAGGGTTAATATCGATGATATCGGTAATTTTCGATAATTTGATTATCACTCGCCCCCGTCCAAATCATAAAGATAATTGGTATTTGATGAACAAAAATTTTTGACTTTATCGATAATAATTCAGATAAGAAATCATCGATTTAGATAAAATCGATACATTATCGATATTTTGGAATATTTTTCTGAAGAAACATGTTCATTGGACTTTTTCTGAAATATCTCCATTTATTAGTGTTCAAAATATGCAGGTGCAATATAATTGATACAATCAGTTACTGGACTATAACGTTTCTTCAACGACAAGCTGGTAGGCAATAAGTAGCTTATGTTTGAATATTTTTTCGACATTTCCAATACTTCGAAATGTGTAGATATTTGAAAAGAAAGGAAGGAGATAAATAAACGAAAGAGGCCCCGCAAATCAAAGATCTGTTTGAAGAAGCTTTGTGAACATTCTTGACCTTAAATCTGCTTCGATTTCAGATGATGAATTTGGAGAAAGGACCGTTTCCATCCTGCTAGATGGAGAGGAATCAGAAATGATCTTCATTGACCATCCATCCTCAGAAATGTCGGTGAGTGAAGAGTATGGAATAGTAGAATAATTGATATATTATGAACGAAAATAAAAAAATGTGTTAAAATTAAACTTCACAATTCGCGGTGGCCAAGGTCATTAGATGACGTTGCGATGACATTAAAAAAACTATGGGAAAACATGTCTAACTTTCAATTTATACCTATGGAATATTTTCCCGTAGATTTTAATGTCATCCCAACGTAATCTTATGACCTTGACGACCGCGAAATATCGTCTGAATGTATGATAAATTGATATACATACAGGACGTGCACAAATCTGCGATTAGACGTCTATAAAAACAAATAAGTTTCCATTGTTCAAGTTTGAACCCCTTGATTGGGTACGAAAGAATTGAAGAGGAATATTCTCAGATATATTATGAACATGAAAAAATGGATACACAGTGTCACGCATAAATTTGGCATCATATGGGAAAAACATTTAATTATAATTTTATTTGAGATTCGACTTGGGCGTTGACATTTGCTTCGAAAAAGATGAAAAATAGCCTACTCGGTCGGAGTTGTGTAACTTTCGCTACATTTTATTGCAACTTCTAGTTCGTGATATTTTTTTAGACAAAACTATCCCAAACTTTGGTTAGATAACGTAAAGTAGTTTGATGATGACTTTTGCATCATTTTAGTACTGGAAAAATCAATTAAAATAAATTGCGCTTCTACGGAGATTATTATATTTACTGAAGGAAAACATATTTCTGTCGATAATGAGTGATTGCGAAGATTTCTAGCATGATAAAGCTACTAGAATGAGATAGTTTTGTCGGTGTAAATTTTTTTGTATATCACAGACATTCCGTAGGAATTGTTCAAATTAAAGACAAATGTTTAAAATTGAAACAGAAACAACTTTTGTTAGTAAACCTTCTCTAAATTCGAACAAATAAGCCTATTGAAAGTCACGTGACCCCGATCGAGTGATCCATTCATCATATTCTCCGAAACAAAACTCAACGCCCAAGTCAAAATTCGAAATAAATTATTATTGAAAGTTTTCACCATATGATGCCGCCTTTATGAATGATACTGTATATAAAGAAATACATTGAGGATCCGCATTCTCTATGTAATTAAAATATTACTTCTTTCTCGGTATATTTAAGAGAAAACAACTACTTTCTGATGATAATTATGATGAATAATGAATCATTGCATCAAATACCATTTATAAATGGAAAAATCAATATAAAATAGTTATACGGCGTAAATTCGACTATGTAGGTACAAATTCATTACAATTATTAAAAAATAATGTGTATTTCCTAGCGCAGTAATATTATGTAAATAGCTATCTATTATTTCACTTAAAGCGAATGACATTCTTCACAAAGAGGAGATATCGATTTTCTTTCAATTCATTATAATATCTATGTCGGTTGACCAATAATTATAGTTACTCCATGTTATTTTTTACTCACATATGTCTTTCCAGATTTATATTTTCTGATGGAGCTATAGCTGTTCATATTTGATAGACTATTAGTAACATCAATTTGTGGTAGAAGTTCATAGTATCTCAAAGTGGAGTGGTTAGTAGGGGTAGGCGAGAGAGATTTTGTATTATAGATATTCACAATGTATCAATATATAATATCGATATTATCAAAATCATCAATATCATGGATATCATCGATATTATCAAAATCTTAGATATATATCGTCGACATTATCGATAAATCGCTAATTTTTTATGTATTATCAATATTATCGATATTCTTTGCATTACGCACCTGAAAAGGAACATTTGGCGTGCTACGGGTAGAAAGCTAACTATATACAACATTCCATCAAATGAGAAGATAGCAGGTGGCGTTTCTTCTGAAGGAATGTTTACAATGACAAAATAAATATATGACGCCTAGTCCAAAATGATAGTAATATTCAAATGGACGAAAAATAATCAAAATAGTATGGTGCGGACATCTTTCCATAAAGAAAACATCAACCGTTACGACACGTCGTAAGTCATATTAGGCATGTGTCAAGGTCGCCGCTTTCCCTATGACTTCCAATGCTGACTTCTTAGTTGGAATGGACAATGGGAGTGGGCGATTACCATCAACATTATTATTACCATTTCATCGATATTAATCGATATTATCGATATTATCATAATATCGATGTTATCGATATTATCGACATCATCGACATTATCGATAAACCGATTATCGTTCATCTGATCGATTTTTCATCGATATTATCTATAATTATCGACAGTTATCGATATATCAATAAATTTGCCCACCCCTAATGGTTGTTTACCAACGATCAGAATACATAGTCCTTTCCACAATTTTAATAGTGATCAAATTATTAAATCAGATCATCGTACATGTTTTGAGCCCATACAGGCTCATCTTCTGCGGAAAATGTGAACATTCCACAACATTATATAAAGTTACAATTATTCAATACCATCAAGTATGAAGTTACTTACCTGAGAGATGGATCGAGAAGAAAAAGAAAAAATATGTACTTGATATGCTACATGATAGGTTGATAGAAATGTTGGAACATATTGATTTTCAATTCAGCATTTTTAATTTGCTAATGCAAAGGTACTTGAGCCCCAAAGGTGGCGATAATGAAAATACGAGATCATGACCAACAGACCAAGGAATATCAACGTTGTCCGTGAACAGGTTAAATCTTTGAGATTGATCATTGGCATGGTCTCAGTACAATTTTTCCTTGTTCTTCTCCATGTGAGTAACTTTATACTTTATAGTATTGAATAATTGTAACTTAATATAATATTGTAAAGTGTTCACACTTTTCGCTGAAGATGGGTCTCGAAACATGTACGATGATCTGATTTAATAGTTTGATTACTATCAAAATGGGCGTGTACACCTTAGTAGAACTTTCAACTCAAACCACGTTTTTAATGATCCTTTTATACATAAATAATGATTGACGACATAATTCGATCGGAAAATTAACTGAAATGTTTTATTTTTGGACATGAATAATAGTACCTTCTGAAAACGGACCCTCTTATGACGTAGAAACCTCATCTCGCCATAGTTGAAAGAAAATACCAAACGCCCGACGGGGACTGAGGCAACTGATATATTAATTCTTTCAACTGTGATCTCGCGCTAATTCACTCTGTCAGAAATCATGTATCATTCATCTTTGTCTGGAATAGTCTTGTTTCAGTATTAGGGTTTTGACGTCACATCATCGCCTCGTTTTCAGAGGTCCGAAAAATCGGGGATTTCAATAATTTTTTATAAAACGTAGGGAGCTCACAGCAAGAAACGGTTTGCGGTGGTGAGCTAGTTTGGGTGAGTTCTATTGAATTAGGAAATACAAATTTTTTGTGATATAAGCCCATTGTGAAGACGACTTTGTTTTGATCCTTGCTTATAAGCAATAATCTTCTCAAATGAAACAATTCTTTTCTTAGAATAATTATTGTATCTAAGTCGTTTGACTAATTATAATTCCCCGATGTTTCAACACCGTTCATCACTTTACGACAGGTTCACTGAAGGTTTCACTCCGTACTTCAACGACCATAATAATTATTACGCTCGAGCCCCTAATCTTGTTATGGAGTACGTAATATAAGATAAGATCAGCCGATCCAAGTATCAAATTTAATTGTTGGCAACCGCTGCAATCAGATATCTTTTCAATGAAGAAGAGATAAAAGGAAACTCAAAGTTGATGGGGATTAGAATAATTGGTACACGGTAAAAATACCTATTGAGTGGATCTTTTCGGCTATAATGGGCTTATATCACAAAAAAAATTATTTCATGATTCGATATTCACCCAAAGTAGGTCACCACCGCAAACCGTTTCTTGCTGTGAGCTCCCCATGTTTTATGAAAAATTATTGAATGCCCCGATTTTTCAGACCTCTGAAAACGAGGCGATGATGTGACGTCAAAACCCTAATACTGAAACAAGACTATTCCAGACAGAGATGAATGATACATGATTTCTGACAGAGTGAATTAGCTCGAGATCACAGTTGAAAGAATTGATATATCAGTTGCCTCAATCTCCGTCGGGCGTTTGGTATTTTCTTTTAACTATGGCGAGATGAGGTTTCTACGTCATAAGAGGGTCCGTTTTCAGAAGGTACTATTAGTTATGTCCAAAAATAAAACATTCCAGTTAATTTTTCGATCGAATAATGTCGTCAATTATTGTTTATGTATAAAAGGATCATTATAAACATTGTTTGAGTTCAAAGTTCTACTAAGGTGTACACGCCCATTGCACGAGTGCATAAGTTCACCGATAATTTCTAAAACATGCAAGAGTTTATTTTCATATTTTGGCGAAAGAGCCTGAGTCCGAAAATATGGAAATAAACGAATGCCATTTGTATACCTATAAGATAACACGCTTGAATGCAGAATTGTCTGGTCATTTTCATGCACGAATGTAGTTCATTGGAATATTTCACGAATTAAGAAATTCCATCTGTTGGATTTGATATTTTTTGGTTCACTAAGTTCACTTTCATCTATACTTTTTTTGAAGTCCATCTGACATTTATTTGTATTGTTTACTGGCGTCTAGCGACATGGCTTTATAAATGTGTTGTTATGGCGACGCGATCTCTTCGCAGTGCAATCTTCGCTCTGCAGTGCATTCACCGATATATGTGGGAAATATTCGTCAAAATAGAAATGTACAATATGTTCCATCAAGAACTCGAATTTTGTTGAAATTCTGTCAGAATTGTATACATGATTTCTCGAATATTCTTCATATTTCTGAGACATTTCGTTTAAATATAATTCAAAGGGTAGCTATAAATTGGATACACAATTCGGTGTGGACCTGGAGTTTAAATCAACCCAAAAATGTTCACCGTGTAGTATAAGAGTCATGAAGAATTGATTTCTGCTTTCTAGAAATTAGGAAACGCTGGAATACACAAATTGATAGGAGGTTTCGAAATATCCTAAATTGATTCAAATAGATACTGACGAATTCAGAAATCTGT